CCAGGTTACAGAGCAGAGTCTAATGATGAGCACTTTGCTCAACCATTGGTCAGGCGGCTGTACCCTTGCCGTGCATGTGGAGGGATAATGATGAGATTTTGTCCTAGAGTTAGCTTGTCCGCATTCTTAACCAGCATGGCCACTGCTGCTATGATGCAGGCCATGGGGCCAGCCTGTGACCATGGGGTCTAGTTTCCTGGATAGATAAGCCACCGGCTTTTTCCATGGCCCTAGGGTCTGTGTGAGTATGCCCTTAGCTATTCCCTTATGCTCAGTTCCCAGCACCCACCTGGCAGCTCACAGAAATCCAATGTCCTTATAGACATACATGAAGGCAAAATAAATGCACATAAAATAAATATAAATAAATTTAAATTTAAAGAATTAAACTTAGTTAATTTGCTTATATTTTGAGACAAGGTCTTACCCTCTAGCACAAGCTGGCCTTGAAACTCATGGTAGCCCTCCTTCCTCAGCCTTCCCACTTCTGTACACTGTAAGTCGTCTTGGTAACTTGTGGTGCCTAATACAATGTAAGTGTGATGTAACTAGCTGCTGTGCTGTATTGTTTAGAGAATAACAAGGAGAAATGGCATCTCCACTTTTAGGACAGATGCAGCTCCCCAGCCCCCACATTTCCGCCCACGCAGACTGAACCCTTAAATGCACAGAACTGACTACATACCCAAGAGAAAGATTTTAAAAATATCCACATGAAAATTCATACATAAATTTTATAGCAGCCAGAAACTAGAAACAATTGAATGGTCTATCTACTGAGTGGATAAAACAAAACAAAACAAAAACCACATTTTTTTTTTTTTACTTTTACAGTGATGGCGTACACCTTTAATCCCAGCACTCAGGAGGCAGAGACAGATGGATCCCAGAGTTTGAGGCCAGCCTGGTCTATAGAGCAAGTTCCAGGACAGCCATGGCTACCCAGAGAAACCCTTTCTCAAAAAACAAGCAAATAACAAAGAATGTTATCATCCATGAAAAAGCAAGAAGTACTAATGAAGGCCACCTTGTGGATGAGTCTCTAAGTGGCTGTGCTGTATTAGAAGGCCGCTCACAAAGACTGTGCATTTTGTAGTTCTAGCTAATGAAATGTCTAGAAGAGGCGAATCTGTAGAGAATAGATTCTTGTTTTCCCATTTCTGGGGCTTAGATGGAGAAAGACAGCGGCTGCTCGTGGGATGAGGGACGTGTCCTAAACATACGTTGTACATTAGTATCACCACAAATACACGGAAACATTAGCCTCTACACGTCAGTTTCATTTTGTTTTCTGAGTCTTATGTAATATAGGCGGTCCTCAAAATGGCTACATAACTGAGGATGGCCTTGAACTCACGATCTACTGTTTCTTGTCACTCTGCCTCCTGGGGATCTCATGCAGCTATGTCTTACATCTCTGGGCTCTTCATGGAACACCACAGACACACGGTTATACATATGAGACTCCAAAGAAGCACCCTAAGCTAGAACTGCCACGTGCAGTGGGATCCTGGCTGGCGCTGCTGCCGGTCCTGGGCATCCATCACTCAGATGGCTCCGTGCGCTGGCTCCCCTGCTGACTTGCTGTGTCATCCAGTGAATCTCCAACCGGCTTGGTGCCAAATGGCAAGTGGAATGACACGAGCCTGTCCCCAGCGTCGCCTTTGCTGAGAGTTTATTTTTTGTGCAAGCTTATGATCACTAAAGATTGTGTGGCTGCTTTAAACACCGATCTTATTTCAGCGGATCCCCTGGGGGCCGGTAGGATTCCTGGTGACAGATGTAGGGGCAGAGGAACTCAGAGCTGGGTGACTTTCCCCGGGCCATCCAGCTGGCTCTGTAGAGCACACATGCAGGTTCTCTGCCTGTTCGTTCCTCCATGGGCTTCCTTTGTGACCATACTTTCTTCCTAATCTCAAATGCCGGCATGGAGGAAATGGCTTGTTTTCAGCTGCTCTCTGTGCTGGTGTTCTCGATGTGCAGAGATAGCCCCTTCAGTCAGACGTCACTGATGGTTCCTTTTCCCCTTCACTTCCTCGGTGGCAGCTGAGTCCTGATTTGGCATGTCTGAATAGATTTGGTCTGGCTGGCCCTGCCTGTGACACTGGGTACATGGTTGCAGAAAACAACTGGGGTGGCCATACATACATGGTGAATGTCATAATCCTTAAGCACTTAGAAGTCTGAGGCAGGGGGATCAAGAGTTTCAGGCCAGTCAGACACATAATAAAACCTGCTATCAAAACAAACAAACAAATAGATAAATGAGGCTGGTGAGAGCCTAGGAGCTGCTTTCCCAGCGCCACTTCAAGCAGGGCATACTAGTCTGGAACTCCAGCTCCAGCACTGTGACATGCTCGCGTGCAGATACACACACCTACACACAATTGAAAATAAATTGCCAGGCAGTGGTGGCACACATCTTTAATCTCAGTGCTTGGGAGGCAGAGGCATGCGGATATCTGTGAGTTTAAGGCCAGCTTGGTCTATAGAGCGAATTCCAGGACAGGCTCCAAAGCTACAGAGAAACCCTGTCTTGAAAAACAAATAGGGCGACAAGATGTCTCCAGGTGCTTGCTGCCAAGCCTGATGACACATAAAATAAAATAAATCTAGATCAAACATAAGAACAGGGTTAGGGAAGTAGTTGAGCTCATAGAGAGATTATCCAATATGCAAGAAGCCACGGGTTCAATTCCCAGCATCTTGCAAAACCTGGGTGTGGCATGCGCTCTAATCCAAACACTTGGGAGGTGTGGGCAAGAGGGTCAGAAATTCAAGGTCATTCTCAGCTACAGCTAGGTGGCAAGTTCAAAGCCAGGCTGGGAAACAGAAGACCTTTGGTCAAAAATAAACAAACAAAAAAACTGCAAGTTGTTTAGGACTGCCAGCCAGTTCATCCTCTTCCACACCTGGTGTGGCCCTCAAGTTCCTCTGCCCTTGCCCGTGCTGATCTCTGGCTTGGAATGGCCTTGTCCTATGTTTCTGCTACCTCCCACCCTGCCCCCATCAAGTGGCTGGCCGTCTACACGTCAGTGAATGCCTGTGATGCCTCCCAGGTGGCTTTGCCAGACAGGTCGCCTAACTTCCAGCTGCTGTGACGGGCTGCCTCCTGATGCAAAGAATGGCCCTTGCTGACAGATACTGCTTGCCAGGAAAGCTACCGGCACTATTAGAGGGCATTCTGTCTTAGTTTAGGTTTCTATTGCTGGGATGAAACACCATGTCCAAAAGCACTTGGGGAGGAAAGGGCTGATGTGGCTTACACCTCCACATCACAGTTCATCATCAAAGGAAGTCAGGGCAAGAACCTGGAGGCAGGAGCTGACGCAGAGGCCATGGAGGAGTGCTGCTTACTGGCTGACTTCTCATGTCTTGCTCAGCCTGCTTTCTTACAGAACCCAGGACCCACCAGCCCAGAGATTAGCTGAGAAAATGCTGTTCAGGCTTGCCTATAGCCTGATCTTATGGAGGCATTTTCTGAATTGAGGATCTCTCCCCTCAGATGACTTGAGCTTGTGTCAAGTTGACACAAAACTTAGCCAGCACCCATGCAAAACCTAGAAAGACAGGAACCAACCTCCCTGCCTCAAGTGCGGCCATGCTTCAGATCTATCTGCCCAGCCTCCTGGACCAGGTGGAGCTAGAGATCTGGCTTAGAAATGTCTCCTTTTGTCTCTCTGTCTCTGAGATTTCCCTTCTAACCACCTCAACTCTCCAAGCTGCCCTCAGGCCAGGGCACTGCTCGTTCTGTTATAATTTAACCTTTTATTCTCGATGTCAAGACAGGGTCTCTGTATGTAGCTCTGGCTTGCCTAGAACTTACTGTGTAGCCCAGGCTGGCCCCCAGTTTACAGTATCTTCCCAGATCAGCCTCCTGAGTTTCTAGGATTACAGGCATGCCCCACAAAGCCCAACTCTTAACCATTTTTCTTATTGTCTCCCAGCACAGACTTTGAGATCCCTGAGGACAATAATAATGCCCTATTTATTCCTATGTCCACATTCCCTAGTTGGGGGCCTGACCCAGAGCAAAGACTGTGTGTTGAAGCCAGCACAGCTTGTGAGGGTCCCAGAGTCACGTTCTCCTGGTTTTCCTGTCTCCATCTCTCTTTTCTTCTCTCTCCTGCCCCCTCCCCTCATCGTGGCTGCCTCCTCCATGCCTCCCCTCCCCAGCAAGTGACAAAGACATGAGTTATTATGACTAAGTTTGAGGTGCGCTGTGGAGAGAAGGAGGGCCAACCAGAGAGCTACCCTCCCACTCCCGCCTCCTCCTGCTTCTTAAAAAATTAGAAAGGATGGAAGACCAGGAGGGCCTGGAAGGAAGGGGCCCCATCTGGCTCCGAGGCAGAGACGTGAGCAGAAGCAGGGCAGGGGCTTCTGTCTGGTCACACTCCCAGGTCCAGGCTGCACCGTGGAGACCCTCAATGTGAAGCTCACGTCCTCACTGGCAGCCTTTCGCAGTGATTCCCCTTGATGGTCCCCTCCTGCTCAGAGTACATCTCAGCGTCACCAATGCTCCAGGAACATTTCCACTCCAATTCATTCATCCCCGCCCACTCACGGCATCAGCCCACGTCACAGGAGGGACGTCTTGTCTCAGAAGCTTATTAACTTTCCAGGCAGCTCATCAGGCCCTGAGTCAGGGCCATCTCAGCCACCCCGCCCCCTGGCGCAAACTGACTCAGTAGCCCAGGGGCTCAGCTGGGGTCTCCTGGAACCACAGGATCCGGCAAGTCATCTAGTGCGGAAGGGAGGGTTGGGGAGAGAGAATACAGTAATTACCTAGTTGCAGTTTCCTTGATTGATCACCTAATCCTGGTGTTATAATTTTTTTTAAAAAAAAAATTCTAAGGCTGGGTTAATTATAGGAAAGAAAGCTTATTTGGCTCATGCCTCTGGAGACTGTGAAGTCCAAGATCACGGCCCCAGCATGCACGTCTCACCTGGCTGAAACCTTTGTTTTAGGAAGAATGAATGACTGCTCTTTCCTCTCAAAGCCACAGGCCTGCACTCTGTGAACTCTGAGATGGGAAGACGTCCACGAGAAGAAGCTGCGTTTCATGTTGTTCCTGGAAGACTGACACAAAAGTAAAATAAAACATTTTTTAAAAGATCAACTATTTCATCAGGGGAGGCAGCGAGTGGCTGAGAGTGATTGCTGCACTGTACACACAGGCGGACCTGAGTTCAAATCCTCAGAACTCATGTAAACCAGAGCAGTGCCTGGACTGTCGGCACTGTGTGTGGGAAGACCCTGGGGCTGGATGGCTGGCAGCCCACCTCAAGGTGAAGTGACTGACCCTTTCTCAAGGGAATAAAGTGGAGAGTGACAGGACAGGACAGCCAGCGCCCTCCTCTGGCCTCTGCGTGGACGTAGGCTACATACATATACAATACACACATCAACTAAAATGTCAAGAACCGAAGGTTGCTAGCTACTAATAGGTTTTCTGTAACGCGATAATAGGTTTCTCCGCTGACGCAGTAAGCCAGATCAAACCTAATTGAAAAAGTAAAAGAACAGGTTTATGTGAGCAAAGCAACTCCCCAGTGAGTCCTCCAGCCCTAGACAGAGATCGGGGCAGAGAAGTCACGCATGAACTAAAGGAGGGAGCTTCTATGGCCTGTGGGTGAAGGGGTGATGGTGTGTCCTACAAAAGCTGGGTTTGTGCCCAAGTATGGTCAAAAACTGACCCTTTAGGTGGGGTCTTGGGCTACTGGCAGCTTCAGGGGAGGAGCTACTGCAGCTGACAAGAATGAGGAACTGGGCTTTTTTGGCACCTTTGTTGGAGATTCTCAGAGAGGATTTGGAGAGAGAGGAACCGGGCTTTTCCAGATCAAGCAGGATAGAGCTGGAGGTTCTCCAGTGGTGTACCTTAAAACCGCTGCCTGTGTAGAAAGGCCACCAGAGTCACCTGCTGAAGGTCACCATGGACCAGCAGACCTCTTACTCTCACCACGTGGCCAGGGGAGTAGAGATGGGGAGAGAAAGGGTTGGTATTGGCTCCGGGCCAAGGAGATGTATCTGCCTCAGAGGGACAAGGAGCAAGAACGCAGAGACAGGAGATAGAGGACGAGGGAGAAAGGAAGGGACCAATGGAGAGGGGACAGGGATATTTGTCCCAGAGGGACAAAGGACTGTCTCTAGATAGAGGGGAGACAGATGTGGCCCACAGACAAATGGTGGTTCGCCCATATCCTTTCATCTACATTCTTTTATGTATCTCAGTTACCTCAACATCTGGCTGGCCACTCCTTTCTTCTTCTTTCCAGAGCTCCCTCTGTCCAACGTCCGGCCCGCACCTCCTGCCTACCTATTCCACAACATTCCATAGTCAGCCTCAGGAAGAGGAAGCGGTCAAATAAGGGACTAGACCTTGGTGGCTAGATTTAGGAATGCTATCTAATGGTTTTTAGCAAGACAGAGGGAACTGGGAGAAAGGGCAAAGTCTACCAGAGCCGTGTTTGCCGTATTGTAGCTGGCCAGAGTCCCTCCAATGGAGGTCTGCTTGGGCCTCTCCTGATGTCTGATTGGAGGGAGAACCCAGCTCTTAAGATGGTCTGGATGTCAGTGATACTGGCTCCCTGCTTTCTGTGGCAGTTCACTAGCTTGGCCCAGCAGTAAGATCTGTCTCCATCAGCCTTCATGTCTCCAATTGTGCCCGTAGATCGCGCCTTGTGTTGGCGGTCATACTACAGGATAATTGGCTCTCCAGCTTTCAAATGACTATAATCTTCGCCTCCCATGTGTAATGGTAAAAATAAAATGGTGCTGTTTCCCCGAGTGGCAGCAGCGGGCAGCTGGCCACGAGGGGCAGCGAGTCCTAGGCAGGGAGCCTTGCAGCAGGTGAGAGACCTTGGCATGTCAGCCATGGTGGGTGGGAAACAGAGATGGATAGCACGCCATGCGGAGTGGGGTTGGATACTTATTTACTGGGTTATGGAAGGGAAGGGGAAAGGGGAGAGGAAGGGAAAACAGGGATGAGGAGAGAGAGGCAGATAGAGAGAAAGAAAGAGAAACAGAGAGGGAGAGAAGAGAAGCTACCTCTTCTGGACAGAAGATGGAAAAGAGCGAGCTCCCAGGCTGGAAGCAGAAGGAAGATCTTCTTGCCTCAGTGGAAGGGGAGGGGAGTGAGCTGGGCTTGTCTCTTAAAGGGACAGGATAGACCATTACATTAGACCATCTACACCAGGATGTGACTAGCACCCAGCTTTCTCAGGTTCCTCCCACAAAATGACGCCCACAAATAAGCAGGAAGCAGTCTTGAGAATCCACCATCCCAATTCCTTCAATCTGTTGTGCCTAACCTCCTGCCTTTTTATTATAAGAAAGAGATGGGAATGTTATGATCTACTGGCCTGATCTGTCACCTGGGTACACTGTCCCTTTATGAGACAAGCCACGCCCTCTCCCAACCCCTCCCCTTCCATAGAGGGAAACAGATATCCTGCCTTCTCCAGCCTGCACTCTCTCTTTTTCCATCTCTCTCCTGAAGAGGTAACTTCTTCTCTTTATCTCTCTCTCTCTCTCTCTCTCTCTCTCTCTCTCTCTCTCTCTCTCCTTCCCCCTTCTCCCCTTTCCCTTTCCCCTCCATAACCCACTAAGTAAATTCGCCTCTCTGTGTGATCTATCCCTTTGTCTCTTACCCGCCATGATCTCCCACCCACCAAGGTGATCCTCCAAGGCCCCAGGGGAGTCACCAAGGCCTCAGGGGACTTCCCTCTCCCCAGGCCTCAGGTCACCTGCTGCTACCCCTCCTGGGACTGCCACCCCTCATGGGACTGGCCTTCCCCCCACCACCCTCATGTCTTTAAATAACAATAACAACGTGTCTTCATTGGAGTACTAGAATTATAGATGGATGTCACCACATCAAGCTTTTTACCTGGGTTCCTTGGCTCAAACTGGGGTCTTCAGACTTTTGTTGTAAGTGGAGTTTTTTGTTTGTTTGTTTGTTTGGGGGTTTTTGTTCTGTTTTGCTTTTTGAGAGACTGATTAAGCTTTATTTATTAAAGCACAAAATATCACCATATTTCCCCTTTTTGTCTAAAATAAAGAGAAGGCTATAACAAATATAAGAAAAACTATATTCAATAAGTACAATATGTACAATATACTGGCAATACGCACATCAACAATGTCTAGTCCATTTGCATTCAACAAATTCAGAGAAAATACTCCATTATCTATCCCATCTTGGTGAGTCCAAAAGGTTGTATCTAGTTCACTTTCTGTTCTAATTTGCATTATCAAACTATCTTTTAATATCTCTCCACCTTTTACACTTTATACCTCTTCAGTGAGCTTCTTTTCTGAGTCTCTTAAACAAGGAAAACTGTAACTATAATTATCTAGTTTTCAACTACCTCAGGGACCTGAGAGGAAATATTACTAACTGAGTAAGCAGGAAGTACAAGCAAGTGACTTCCACAAACTGTGAGAAATGACAGACAAACTGTCTTAAAATCCCTGCAAGCCCCTATTGCCAAATCCAGTTCAGTCGCTTCCTGCCATCCTAGAGGAAGCTCCTTCCCAGAGCAATTAAAGAACTTAATGCCTATTGTAAGAAACCGTATTGCTAGCCAGGCAGTGGTGGTGCACTCCTTTTAATCCCAGCGCTCGGGAGGCAGAGGCAGGCGGATCTCTGTGAGTTCGAGACCAGCCTGGTCTACAGAGCTAGTTCCAGGACAGGCTCCAAAGCTACAGAGAAACCCTGTCTCAAAACAAACAAACAAACAAACAAACAAAAAAAAAAGAAACCATATTGCTCTGGATGATAAAACAACTATAGAAGATAAAACAAAAGTTTCGTCTGTTGGGCTTAGCACCATCTTCCTCAAAACTCCTGCACCATGAGAGTGAAATAAAGGAAGAAGCGAATGCGCAGGCTGAAGCGGAAGAGAAGGAAGATGAGGAAGAAGTCCAAGTAAACTATCTTCTCCACGCACAAAGGCTGAAGGAACAGAAGTAAGGGATGCTGAAGGGCGGGTGCTGGTACAAGCTGTTGTGCTACTGTTGGTATTAGTCTCAGTGGGTCTGGAACCTCGCCATCCTCTTGCATAGACCACCTAGAGACTTGACTGCCTTCATGACAACCAAAACTGTCCCGCTGGCCCTTTGCCCTGGACTAGTTCTGTTCTCACTTGTGGCTGAAAAGAAGACGGAATTCCACAACGATGGTCCATCAGGACTGTGACAACACCACCAAGCTGAAAACCACCTCCTAAAGATTGGCTGTGGACTACAAACTGCTCAGGGCAGTTCCAAGGTAGCTAGCTGAGATGATCTAGTCAGGACTTGAGACAAGCTGTTATGATTTATGGTGGAGTGACCCTGGCAGATTCCCCTGCTGGTGTGGGGAACTGCTGCCAGTGGGAGACAGACAGATACACCATGCAGAGAGAGTTTATTTAGTGGGTATTAGGAAGGATATAAGGATAAGGGGGTTATGGAGGGAAGAGAGAAATAGAGAGAAAGGGGCAGAGAAAGAGAAGAAAGGGGAAGGGAGAGGCTGCCTCTTCAGAAGAAGGACAGATGGAAAGAGAGAGGAGGAAAGGAAGTATGAGATCAGCTAGAAGGGGATGGGGTGGGCGGAGCTTGTCTCTTAAAGGGACAGGGTACCCAGGTGACAGGGCAGGCCAGCAGAATTATAATTACAACACAAGTCCTGCACTTTCCCATTACAGAGACTGGACTGGACAACAGATGATGCAGCTACCTCTCCCAGGACTTGACAATTAACCCAAATTTTTCTTCTCAGGATTCCCTAAAGATGCCATTGCCCCAGACAGCAGGATGTAAACTTAAGAATATGGCAGCCACATTCCCAAGAAATGGGGTGGGTTTTCGTCATTCAGTGGGTTATGGATATTTGTCATTGTTTAGGGGGGTTGGTTATAAGTTGGTATTGGTTACAGTCAGGAGGAAAGTTGAACGAAGGAGATTAGATTCAGAGTTCTTGTTTCGAAAACAAAAAAGGGATACAGGTATGATAAGATAAAAGGGTAGATTGTTGAATCTACTCTGGAAAGAAAAAAGGGTGGATGTAGATATAACATTAAAAGGTAGATTATTGAATCTACTTTTAAAAAGCAACTACTACACTAAAACTACAGCAAAACCCTGTCTAAAAA